TGTGTTGATGTTCCTAACAGATACCGGACTGTGCGCTTGAGAAAGTTTCAGTGGCGTCGCGTGGGGCAGTGTGTTGCGCGTGCCAGTGCCGCTGTGGCGTAGCTAATGTCTGGGCGGGTGCAGTCTGCTATGTATCGGATTTCGCCTAGTGCCTTTCTGTAGTGTTCGCTGATGGTGTTGTCCGGTGTTTCTTCGGGTCTGGGTGGGTCTATTGTTGCTCCATCAGCGTATGGGGTCGGGTGTGGTGCGGCGTCCTGCATGTTGATGTACTGCACGACATGTTGGATGTGTTGTCGCTGGCATAGGTGTATGCCTTCCGGGGTGTAGGATACGTTCCAGTTGAGGTATGACGTGGGTTTCCCGAGTCGTTTGACTTTGTACTTGGACTGTAGTACTTGGTGGAAGTCGTCGTTCAGGGCTTGTGTGCTGGCGGCTGCCAGAAAGTCGTCCATACTGACGGCTATGAGGATGACGTCGTTTTGGGTACGTTTGTAAAAGAGCGAGGGGTCGGATTTGGCTTGCTTGTAGCCGTGTTGTTTGAGGTGCGCGTGGAGTTTTGTTGTGTATGTGTGTGCGGCAGGTGGTGTTCCATAGACGTTTCCTTTCAGTTGCCCGGCTGCGGCCTCGTGTTTGTATGAGCCGTCGAAACGCTTGGGTTGCCAGATATATACTGGGGTGTCGTGTTCGTATGCTTCGTGCAGATACGCTCCTGTGATGTCGAAGTGTTCCAGGTGCATGGAGTGCGCTGCTGCGAGTGCGAAAACGATTCGTACTGTGGTCTTTTCCGCCATGAATGTGGCGACTTTGTGTGGGTCATAGTGGATGTCTGGGAGCATGAGGTCGCCCCGGACGGAGCATCTGGCTTTGCGTTTGACGTTGGTGGGATCGGTTTCTATCGCTTTGTATCGGTACGTCATGGTCATCGGTATGATCTCATTGCGTGGCGGGAGTTGCGCGCTCACGTTCCAATCTATTGCTTGTGTGAGATCGAGTTGGTCCAGTTCGGCATTGTGTGCTGTACCCCATTCACGCGCGTCCGGGTATTTGTTTGCTTGTTGCCGAGTCTGGGGGGGAGTCGTTGTTGGGAGTTGTTTGGTACGCGCTGGGGTTGGTGGAGGTGGGGGTTTATTGCACGTCTTGGTTGTTTTCTTGTAAGGTGTGCCTCGGGCTGCTAGCACACGTCCTATGGCCCGTTGGGGAGGACGGTGCGGTGAGCGAGTGTCGAGGCGGTAGAAACCTTGATGAAATTTGGCTGTGAGGATCGCCGGGGGCAGTGGCGTTGGGTCGTGCAGCGTTGCGTGGTCTTTGGTGAAGGTGATGTGGCCGTGGCGCGTTAGGTCGTGGACGGAGAGGAGGTTCTGGCGGAGTTTTGGGGCGCACACTGTGTTGGTGGTGACGTGCTTAGGTGTCGTTGAGATCGTCGTCTTTCCATCGTGGGTGATCGGGCAGGGTTGGCCCGTAGCGGTGAGGGTTAGTTTGCCTGTGGTGGGTTTGAGGTTGGGATGGGGTTTGGTGACGTGAGTTGGGTGCGCTGCGGAATCGAGGAGAAAATGTGTCTTACCGGAGGGGCTAGTGTCTGCCGTGTGTGTTGCTAGGGCATGTTCTAGCTGTGCTATGCGTTGGTGGAGGTCTTCTGTGTTGGGTGTGGTGGGGGTGGTGGTGTGGCCCCCTTGTTGCTGCATGTCGGTATCGTAGAGGCAGTTGGCTCCATACGGCTGTCTGCGTCTGCCTTGCAGTGTGTAGCACTGCTCAGTGTCGTGTGTGATGCTGCCATGATGGATGCACAACTTGCCGGCCCAACCTTTGGGGCGAGGGTGGTTGCGGGGTGTCTATGGCTGGCGGGGGGCACGGCGTTGCTGTTGTTGGTCTTGGTAGGGTGGGCGAGGCGTGTACTGGTTCTGCGGGGGTCGTTGGTACTGTTGTCGTGGCGTGTATTGGGGCAGCTGGGGTTGTTGGACTGGGGCCGGTTTGGGGAATGCGGGTTGCGGTGTACTGGTTTCTTGCTGCTTGTTCTGCATCAGCATGACCTGTCGGACATGGTTCGTGAATTTGCGGATGGAGGCGGGTGGGCTGCCCGCGAGCACGACAGCAACGAGTCCAAGGTCGGGGTGGTTGCTGATCTCTTGTATCATGTAGTTGACGGTGGTCCGTTCTTGGTCTATGTTGGGGTAACTGGCGTTGATCATCTTTTGGCGGATTGAGACGTGGGTGTTGATAAACGTAGAAAAGTCAGTACCAGGAAGTAGTTTGTTACATCGTGCCTCGGCGTCGAGGACTTCGTGGTTTTCGATGTTGGCGTCGTGGATGTGCTCGCGGAGAAGTGTGCATATGTGGTGAGGAGATTTGCAGAGGATGGTTGGGGGTAAGAGAGCTACGATGGTGGAGGGCAGGCTCGGTATGATGAGCTTGCGGAGCTGATCGGCCTGTTTGTTGCGCGTTTGGGTGGTTGCTGGGTCGTTTGTGGGTGTGGGTTCGGATTCGAGGAGGTATGCTGCGTCGATCGTTCTTGCGTGCAGCAGAAGGGCGTCATACCAGTAGGTGTAGTTTGTGGTGGTGAGGTTGGGGAGCAGATTTTGTGGATTCATTGTGATGTGTTTTGTGATGTGTTTGTTTTGAGTTGTGTCTTGGGGTTCGTGTTGATCGTTTTCGTGGAGTGTTGCTTGTTGTAGAAGGTATGTTGTGTATTCGTTGATGTCTTGATTGAGGGCGCGGCGTTCAGCGCGGCGTTGTCGTTGCGAAGAGAGATTGTGGGATGTGGTGGAGTGTTGAGGTGGACTGGAAGGTGGCAGTGGTTGCATAGGGGCCCATGACCTGTGACGAAGTAAGTCTCGTGCCCCCGGTCGTCCCGCGGCGGCGGGGCGGCCGACGGCGCGCTTTTATTCGGTCCTGGCGCTGCTACCTACCTCAAATGGTGTGGTCTAGTCTGTGGCTGGCTTGTGGGTCATCACACACAATCAGACATGACCAAGAGACGCGGATCACAACGGCGACACACCAAAGTCGCTAGCAGACAAAGAGTATCTAGATGGAGACAAATTACGCTAACGCTTCTTTTGAGGAGATCGCAGCTGGCAAACGTGCCTTTGGAGGGTCTCCGTCTATCTCTTGCAGCATACTTGCGTGCTAGATTGGACTACAGTATTCATTTGCGACGAACGCGAACTATATCCCTTTCCAACTACGCCTTTAACTTCAATTCATGGGCAATGATACTTCACAAAGCAAACTTGACGTTGTTGATGCTGAACTACACTTTTCGTGAGTTTCGGACCCCAGTCCAAAGATCGGTCCAAATTAATATTCCTTTTGTTTCCTGTGTCGCGACATGTTAAGCTCTGGCTACGAGACGCATATCAACATGACTGTGGTGTTCCCCCGGTTCGAATGACACCTGTTTCGTCGAATGGCACTAGAGATATCGAACTCGTTTAAAAAACCCGAATGGGGTTCGAACAAATCGTCAACAAAATCGAGCATAGGGTTAAGACACACCCTCAGGGTGAATCTCTGACAGTCATTCCTCCCTCATGTCGTTGGTCAGCGGCACCTCCCCTTTTGCTCAGTGGTTATCACAATCATACCGTACATTGGCGACATCTTCTTGCGCCTTTCGTGCGCGGTCGTGCGTCTCCGTCCTCCGCATCTCCCGCTATCCCCTGCACCTTTATACGACATGCCCCAACCTTCCGACATCTGCGCCCAGCCTCAATCCTCCGCTCCCCATCATCCGTCGCCACTGCGTCGATGACGTTTGACCGCCTGCCGCAGGCCGTGGCCTTTCTGCAGCAGCTCGTCGACAGCCACCCGGACACCGTGTATGGGTATTGCGCAATGGACCGCGCCGAGGCCACGTGGCCCGACGCACCCGCTAAGAGCCTCTACTCGGCAAACATCTTCAGCCCCGCCCTGCGGAGCGAGCCCAACTCCACGTCCACGAGCTCCGGCGATGAGAAGGGCCTCTCCGCCGCAGAGCGGCAGCAAGCGGTTGGTGACATTGGGCACCACACAGTGACCAACTACTACCGGTGCACGTTTGACGGGGCGGAGATTGAACTGGACAACTTTCGCGGGTGCTCCATGCAGCCGGAGCAGGTGGTCTTATTTGTGACGGATGACGAGTTTTTCAAAAGGGCGTCGCTCGTCGCGGAAGACCCCCTCAACCAGGTAAGGGTGGAGCTTCTCGCGCCGCGGCCTTCGACGTCGTCATCATCATCATCCTCGTCACTGATGCTGGACGAGCGCAAGACAGGCGTCACGGCCGACTTATCGCTGAAGAACGTCTCCGTCGTGGGCGGGTGCGCCGTGGTACAGGCGGTGGTAACGGCGGTGAGCCTAGGCGAGGCGGAATTCGTGCAGGCGATTTACCGAGACACGTACCTTGCCAAGCGCGCGGTGGCACTCGACGTACCGCGCTCCAAGCTGCCGTTCTACCCACTGCACAAGCAAACCAAAACGTTGCTGCGGCAGATGCCGTCGGCAATGTGGGTGGTGTCAACCAGCGCGGCCCACGGGGAGGATCTGGCGATGACGGCGACGTCCGTCACGGTGCCTGCGGCGGCGCGCGGGATGATATGCTTCAATGTGGCGCACTCGAGCGCGTTCTACGCGGGGCTCGGCGGGGTCGGGGCGGGCGTGAGGCTGTTCGCGCTTTCGACAAGGCAGAAGGACATTGCCGAGCGGTACGTGACGAGGGCTGCGTTGGGGAAGGAGGATAGGACACGGCTGGAGGAAGAGTGCATGGTGGCGGCAAGTTGCACGATTGAGCATACCGAGGATGTGCAGGACCATCACATTGTTTTGACGAAGATTGACGGCGTCAAGGTGCCGGAGAAGGACGAGGAGGGGTTGATGCCTTTGGTCTGGCAACACGGAAAGTTGATCACGTAGCGGTAGGCGGCGCGTGCTGAGTCGGCCCTTGTGCGCTATTAAATTATATAAACGCTTTTTTAATTGAAACAAGGTCTTGAGCAAAGAAAAATGCAGGAACTCAGAACTCAGAAATGGCCATTAGACTCGCCCCTCCCGGTGCACCGCCGTTCCCATCGCCGCCCTCTCGTTTCCCCCCCTTTCTATCCCGATCGCCTCCGCCGACGACACCCTCATCCTCACTGAAGGGAACGTCATCCAAGCCCTCGACGGTGAACAAAACACACACTCGTTCTCTCGTTCTCCCGCCATTTTTTGTACACGTACAAGTATGTGAAATGTATTGCAGAAGGGACTTCACTATACATGTATATATCACATTTCAGGAAATTTTGTCATGGAGTCTGACTGGATTTCACTTGCTCTAAATGTTAAGACATGTAGGTGTCACTGAATGTATTCATGTCGAGCACGATGAATCATGTGATTCACAACCATACTGTTGTGCCTAACCAAGTTGTTTATTGGTGTCCAGGGGCGATGCCGATAATCCTCCCGACGTCCCTGGAATCCATTTGATTCCACTCTCCGCATGACGAGAATCCACTCAACTCCTCAGGAATCCACCTGATGTCTCGTTCTCGTCTTCCTTCTCGCCCAGTTCCTTCCTTGATGTCATCTATCCTACTGGCCACAACTCTACGTTGTAATTGGTCTCGAACAGCATATTATTGCCTTGCCTGCCTACTATCGAATGCAAGCGGTACTGCCTCTACGGTGTCACTCAAAAATATATATTGTTTTGGTTTTGGCTGCGGTGTCACATGCAGAGCAGAAACGGCCCCTCAGCAGAAACGGCCCCTCTCACAGCCTGCTCCGCTGCGGCAGGCTGTGAGAGGGCAAGCTGTGAGATGTGAGAGGGCAGGCTGTGGGAGGGCAGGCCGTGGGAGGGCAGGCTGTGGGAGGGCAGGCTGTGGGAGGGCAGGCTGTGGGAGAGGTGCCGTTTGTTTTGTTCTGCCGCCGTGGCGCAGCTCCGCTGCCGCAGAACGAAACAAGCTGCACGCATCCTACGCATGCCACGTCTGATCTAGACCCACCTCCCGCCCATCCTCGCATCTGGATGGGCGGGATCAAGCACTGCACGTCCTACAACCGCGGGATCAAGCCAAAGGTTGCAACGTGTTTCTGACTGTCGTACCTCCGGTGAGTGAGAATGTCCGGCGAGCAAGAATGGCCGCGGCAGGAAACAATGTCGTCTCTGGCCATCCCACCGAGCACAAGGAAGAGTGCCTGGCCTCGGTCTACTTGACGGTGTAACCACAAACAAGTGCTGATCGGATAGCCACGGCGGTATCCCGTACCCCTGTCTTCTTCCTCCTCCACTTTTCGCGTCGGGTGCATGCGGCCCAGTGCTTCCTGTTTCCAACCATCTCTTAAGAGATGGTTGGAACAGGGCATTAATGTGTGAGTGTCCGTGCACGAGCAGTTGCCCGTGTCCAAACAAGCCAAAACCTCCATTTCACACAACCTGTTCATGCTCCATCATGCTCCCCCCACCACTACCAACAAGCCACAGCCTCCCGACCACCGCCCGTCTTCGACGCTACACACGCCGTCAACCTCAACGCTAACACCGTCGTCAACACCGTCGTCAAGGTTTCGTTTCCTGGCGGAAACGAAGTTTCTAATACCTGACAAAGCGAAAACCACCGCAAATCCGCCGTGCATATCTTGAACTTCATACTACAACGACTGATATCGTATGTGCCTGTTCCGCCTCCAGTTTTGTTTGCTGGTCTCGCTACGCGCAGTCTCTACGTTGGACGACACTATTCCCCGCACACTGACGCAACTGCGCGCGACACATAGAAAAGATGTGCCGGCTACTTTTTTTGCGGAGAGGGGCATCGAGGCGTCGGGTAATTAGAAACAACTTCAAATACATACAAATTTCTCCTGGCACATCATCCCTTACTACATATACCGTGGGTACAACCCCTCCTGTCCTGTCCTGGCCGGGACATCCCCTTTTGCCCAGTGGTTATTCACACACTCACAATCACACTACTGCACGAGCTCGTAAAAGTACAGTTTTGCTTCTACCTGGATCGCAATGTGCCGACCTGAAGTAGAACAGTACCAACGATATCCCGCAACGGTTGCTAGGCGGATTTCGTCATCTCCTGTCCTGTAGAACACTCCATCTTCATCTTGCTTTTGCCGAATCCTCAGTTTCCTCTCCAGTTTCCTCTCTAGATCCGCCGCCGTGAGTTTGCCCTCATTCGTATCGATGAACTGGCGCAGATCGCTCTCTTTGAGATACCCAACACCATCGTATTGCTTTTCGCAGACAGCGCTTTGACTCGTCACGGACAGGATTCGTAACGTTCCTCCACCCACCGTCGCCATTCGCGACCCGTCCCGGAACCAAGCAATATGCGTTAGCTCTTCACTGTTTGCGCTATACCTTAACATCACCCCTGTCTCAATATCCCATATCGCAAGCTCTCTTCCAATTCCAAATGCTACGCGTCGCCCGTCGTCAGACCATTCCAGCGGATGGGGTGGAAACATATACTTATTATATTGGCACTGGTACCGATATGTTACACCTGTCTCCCAATTCCAGATCATAACTCCGACTCTGCTTGGTTTCCCATTTTCATCAATTCCAACTCTGCTTGGTTTCCCATTTTCATCATTTTCAACCATATTATATCCAGTTGACGCGATCCATTTGTCATCTGGAGACCACTTCACCGCATGAGGGAACAGAGCCCGCGCACCAGAGAACGGAGCCCGCTCAACAGAGAACGAAGCCCGCACACCTTCTTCACCTTCTCTCCAGGGCCGCTTCACAAAGTTGAACCAATCTATGTGAACTTCGTCTGCAAATTCGTCTGAATACCACCCAAGCAGACCTTGGTCCGCAGCCCATTTCAGGCCGACCGAATCTGGGACACGTTCGGGGGCATCGCCCATCGTCTCTCCTGTCTTGGCGCCGCGCAGCACGACCCTGCCATCTGTATGCCCACATGCGACCCTGATCGCCTCTCCCGTTCTGGCGCTTAACAGCACGACCCTGCCCTCGTTACCCATACCGCCAAGCGCGATCTTCGTGTCGTTTCCAGCCCACGCCATGCACCCGATGTGCATGTAGCCGTCTGTGATTCTCTCCCATAACTTGTTCCCAGTCTTCCCGTCCCACAACCCCATCCCCCATCCAAACGACACGAACACCCTCGTCCCATCATTGGACCAACATGCTTGTGCGTAACCACCCTTGGCCCAGTCTTCCCACAACTTGTCGCCCGTCTTGCTGTCCCACATCGCAAACGTTCCATCTTCTGCTGCCGTAAACACCCGCTTGCTATCTCTAGACATCTCCAGACAATACACATGGCTTGCGTGTGTCTCAGCATCCCCCCACATCTTCTTCCCCGTCTTCACATCGTACATCACTACGTCTCCGTCTCCAACATCAGTAGCACATATGTCATCGCTTGACCACGCAACAGCCGTGAATTCTTGCCCTTCCTTGTTGACCTTGTCGACTTCCTCTTCCTCCTCCTGCACCCTCTCCAGATTATCCCACCTCCAAATGACAATATTGAAATTGTCATCCGCAGAAAACATCCGCTTTCCATCTTCTAGCCAGCCCAAGACCACAACACGCGCCCTGTGTGTCGCCATGTGCCGCCGTACTTCTGCCCCGGTCTCTGTGTCCCTCACAGAAACCTCCCCGCCGTCACCGGAAGCAGCCAACCATCTCCCATCCCCGGACAGAGATATTGCCGTTGCCAAAAAATCATCAAATTTCGATATTCTCTTCCCCGAGCGTCCGTCCCATACCGACACCACACCCTGCCCGCCGCCACAGGACTCGCCACAGTACAACAGCGTCCCGTCCTCCGACCATGAAAGACAGCGAACGTATTCCAAAGGCGCGCTTTCCGCGATACTCCTACCAGTTTCCCCGTCAAAGATCCACAATCTTGCTTCAGATACTGTTTCTTCAACAGATCTTTTTCTAAGGTCCATCGCGACCACGCACGCGACCCGCTTTCCATTGTTCGACCACGAAATCAACCACTTGGTCCAAACGTAGTCGGCTAGTCGAATACTCGGCAAGCCAATCACCCGAACCATCTCCCCTGTCTCTGCACACAGTATCAAAATTGACCTGTTTGAGCCGCATTCTCCCGTGCACGCCAACCGTTTCCCGCCCGGTGAAAGCGATACTTTCTTAACAACATGGCCCCCCATATTCGTTGCCTCCTTGATCTTCACACCTCTCTCAACATCCCACAACACAACCACACCATCTTCTCTCCCAAACGCTACTCGCTTTCCATCCCCCGTCAAGTCAAAAGGGCGACTGTATCTCCTTACATCCAGGTGCCCTACATCCAGTTCCTGTCCGACTCGCTCTGCTGTAGCTCCTGTATGCATATCCCACACCTGCACGCTTGTTCTATCTGCCTGTACTACCGCTACATACTTTCCGTTCTCCGACCAAAACCTGCTCACACCCCGTGCCACTTCAAACAACACGTTTTCTTTCATTTCCCCGTCCCGGAATGTCCGACGAAACAGATGCTTCTCATCATCCCCCCAAGCGATCACTTCGTTCTTAGCTGCACATCCCGACATTCCCACCACGCTCCCCTGGTCCGGAAATATGTGTTGCACCGCGCCTGATACGTTCAAGCCAGGTGTAAGCGACTTCAACCACGGCTTCTCCGCAACTTCCTCTATCCTGCGTAAGAACTCTCCAATTACTTCCGACTCGTTCCTGAATCTCAACAGACCATCGTACAGCTGAAACAATACCTCTCTCGAACTTCGACGAACAAAGGACGCACTCAGCCCCGCCTGTCTAGCAATCTTCTGCAACGACCACAGCCTGCCTCCCGCTTCGCACCGTTCTCCGTCTTCCCCGGCTACGTCCGTCAAAATCT